TCATTTCGATATTCGCGCATATCGGACCGTAACTTCTTGGATGATTGCCCCTGGTTATGAGCTGTATATTAACAGAAGTGCCATCTAAAATATTATTTTTACAACAAATTGTAAATTTACTGTGGAACTTCTAGAGGTCACAATTTTAAACCGATTTTAAAAACCAATGAAATGCATCACCGTTACACCCTAATGACAGTCGGGTTTGAGTTTCATGAAAATCAGACGAAATTCCCTGAGAAAATGGCCGGTCCTCATACGAAAAACGGTGTAATACCAAGGTTGTGGACGCTCTAGAGGTAACAATAGTTATCCGATTTTGATGAAATTTATGTTTGACCCAAAGAGCTCGGTTCATTTCGATATTCCTGGATTGTGGCCCCTGGTTGTTTGAAAAATCGTGTTTTTAATTTGTGGTCCATCTGGAGGGCAAAATTGTTATCAGATTGAAAAATACGTTTAAATATATCACCGTTTCACAATAAGGATAGTTGAGTTTGAATTTCGTGAAAATCGGGCCGACGCTCCCTGTACGCAAAATAGTATAAACGTATGTAATACCAAAGTTGTGGACCTTGACGACGCTTGACATGCATGTTTATATCCCTAAGATCTTGATTGCTTTCGATATTGGCGTATATCGGACGGTAACTTCCTGGATTATGGCCCCTGATTGTACGAAAGATCACATTTTTAACTTATGGATCCTCCAGAGATCACAATGCTTATCCGATTTTGATGAAACTTAAAATATATAGTTATATCCTTTTGATATTGTCGCACCGTAACATCCACGATTATGACCCCTGGTTGGATGAAAACTCGCGGTCTTAGCTTGTTCTCTGTCCATCTCTTGCAAAATGTGGGCGTATCTTGCAAGGCAACCGCTTGTTAATCAACATGTAAAATTTGGCAAATTCGATATTTCAAAAAGTGGAATAATTCATCTTACTTCTGACTGGTGGTTAAAGCTAATGGTATGGAAGGAATAATACAATTGTAACAATTAAAGATTACATCACCTTCTGATAGATGGCAGTAGTGGGACCAATAATAAAGTATATTTCAGTAAGATGCAAGTTATCTTAATCGGAAAATACGACAGTTTTCGCCACTTATAACTGACATTACAGTGACATCCTTGTTTAACGGGAAATATATACTAGTATACTTGTAGCCAGGTATATTGACTGTAACACTGTAAACTTGATATCATTGACTAATGAACAAAAACCATTGCCTAAGCGGAAAATGTTCAGCACCGAACTTTGTTTAGCTATTGGTGTAATGAAACACACACGGAGTTTCACCATTATAACTCAATTAAGTTGTCTGGCCCCAATGACATAACCAATTTAATTACTTATTGCTCTGCTTACCCAGAGCCGAAAATGCTCACTATCGATTGAGTCAAGGTATTTATATGATGGAACTATGCACCAAGTTCCATCACTGTCTCTTAATTATAAGCAAAGCATCAACAAATGACATTGCTTATCTCTGCCTATACCCTAAGCAGGAAATGCCCATCATCAAGGTATTTGCCTAATAAACCTCTACACCAAGTTTGGACATTTTACCTCAATTAGAAGCAGAGTTATTGAGTCCCAAAAAGTGTGACGGACGGACCCATTTTACTAGTGCTCTGCTTTCTTCGATAGGTAGGGGGCAAAAATCTATCACTTATGCGAGAGCGACACAAAACAACTTCATCCGTCTTGTTGGACCCGGGGGCATGAGTGTTCCAATGGTTAACGCTTACGCGTTGGAGCAAAAGGTCTGTCATTGGCTTTTTTTCGCCAAAACGGAGACATTTCTCCCCCCCATCGGACACAAATTTATAACAATTAAACACGATTTTCAAGCAGTGCACTAATTGACGTTAAGTTGTAGTTGGGAATCGTTAGAAAAAATTGTTATTTGATAGAATGTTTCTACGTGATCAATGGTGATGGATAAGTCCTTGTAGGTATGGCTGTGCACAAACAAAAGCAAAACACGATAAAGTACATTGTAATACAAAACAATTAGAACAAATTATACAAAATGAAAGCCAAAGTAACATATGCATTGAATATTTAAAAAAAAAACATATATAAACTAAACAATAAAGACAGACCAATAGTTACACTGAAAACTGTTAAACACAATATGCTAATACAAAGCCGCAAATACAGCTCAAAAGATACCTAGCATAATCGTTAAACAAATTAAAACTAAGCTACAGGATATTTCTTCGCAACAAACGTGCAGCATTTGATTCAAACGTTCCCATGTCCTCTACGACATCAGTAGGACTACATTCCTGGATATAAAATGTTTGCTGTAGCTTTACAGTTTGGATCTGTTCGTTTGTGGAGCCTAAATTCCGCATTCACCCATGGTAATATCGCAGACAACAGCTTCATTCATAGGCAATATCTCAACAGTAGAGTCTTTGGCAGCTAAGCACATTTTGATTTAGTGAATGTATCTCAAGAACATTAGAATACGCATTAGAAATTGGAATACGCATGTGAAGTGTGGGATGGGTGTAACGTTTCCAATACCGAAAAACTTGAAAAGGTACAGCTAGAAGCTGCCAGGATTGTCACTGGACTAACTAAAACTTGTTCTCGTGAAGCTCTTTATTTTGAAACCAGATGGAATAAATTGTCAGACAGACGTACACAAAAGCGACTAACTACCTTTTTTCAAATTAAAAATCAGAGAAACCCAGCATACTTATATCACATTCTAGAATATTATCAACAAACACCACAAAAATACAATTTAAGAAACATTAGCGAATATAGATATCCTTATTGTAGAACAACATTACACCAAACTTCGTACTTCCCCACAACAATTCGAGATTGGGAATTATTAGAGGACCCCATAAAGCAATCAACCAACATTAAATCCTTCAAATATCTATACAAACAAAAATTACGTTCCTTAATACATAAAGCGCCAATCTACTACTGTAAAGGTAATAGACATGAAAATAGTATTTACACTAGAATACGGCATGGGTGTAGTTCGTTGCAAAATGATTTGTATAAAATAAACGTTGTGAATGATCCCACATGTTCTTGTGGCAAATTTATAGAAAATGCCGAACACTATTTCCTGCAATGTCACTTATATGATGTAATTCGTGTCAAACTATTAAATACATTGTCAAATTATTCTGTGATAAATATAGATATCCTATTGTGCGGCAATTCAGAATTGTCAATTGAGATGAATACAAACCTTTTTCTTGAAGTTCACAAATATATCAAACTTTCAAAACGATTTAAATAAAAGTTATTGTTAGTAGTTACATCTAAGATTAAATTATTAGCTATAGCTTTTTTTTGGTGGAAAAAAAATATACATGGAACAGTTCATTTATATCCCATTTATTAAACTTTATTTTTCAATGTTTTAAATATAATTTTATATTCTCTTTATCACCTCTTCACTTATTTTATATAGAGCTTTGCGATATAATTCATCTGACTTTACTTATATTACTTATAAATTATTTATTATTGTATATACTATTTCGCAATCTTGTTTGTATTAAATTTTGTCTATCATTTATATGTATGGAAAGGGCTTTTCTAAGTTTTTGAAACTTGTGCTCAATCCTTTTGATATTTGTCAATAAAATATGTTTAAACTAAGAACATTAGATCAATATACTATCTTTGCCAGTCATTAATTCAATTATTTGCTCAACCAGACCCCAAGTTCACAAAGCATTCTTAGACTTATGTTCAGAATTTACTCAACTTTCAATCACTGTTTATGAGAAATATCTTAGATATAGAAACACGTAAGTTTCTATAGAAACACGTAAGTTTCTTATTGATGTATTTGATACATTAAAACAACAAAAGTTTTATAAAGGACTATATTTTAGTTTAAATATTTTAGTTAAAATGTGGGGCGAGGCATAAATTCTTAACTTAAGTCTGAGAATGCTTTGTGAACTCGGCACCAGATATATTTACTTGAGAACAATTTCTAAATATAGCTAAATAATGAAAACCACAAGACATACAAACAATAGCAATATTTGCATGTATTAATTAATTTTACAGCAATTAAAAACAATGAAAGATAATTTAAAACAAGCGATCGAGTTAAATTCAAAACATTGTATATACATTATATCAATTGCAAATAAAACTGATTGCAGTTCGTGGACCACTATTGCACACGACCGATGACTAGCTATGTAATAATAAATCAATTATGTACATCCAACTATGAGTTGTTTTATTAAAAAAAGGGACTGAAGCAGCAGATATATTTAAAATAAATGATTAACTTCGCGCCAATCGCCCCACCCCCAAACACACACACACTAAACTCAACAGTACCAACATAATCATACTCTAATATTAATTGTGTAAAACAACGAGTTTTTACAAGATAAAGCAACAAATAAACAATATTTTTTTATAACATAAACATATATTCTTAATGTAAACATAAATTTATGTACAATCAAAGCATAAAATGATATATCAATTATACAAAACAAATAACAACAAACTGTCTTGTGAAATTATATTGACTTTTTAACATCTGCCTTAAAAACCCGTTTGTGCGCCCATTAGTTCTGGATTCACCAGTATGGGCGACACCCTGGGTCTGAAACATTACAAGACCGGGACTCTACAGCGGAGCGGGGCTTATGACTGGACACCGCATCCCTTCACTTGATTTGATATTTGTTGTTTATTGCTTGTAATGTCTATGTAGTTTGTGTCCTGCTCGCTGGTTTGACTTTTTGATTTTGAGCAAACACATGGTGATCGTTACGCTATACAACAAAAGACGCTATTTAGTTCTACTCGCTACTAAACATAGAATAATTGTCAAATCAAAGTTGAGTTTTGATTTAATCAATTACCGTACTTGGTGGTCGAAACGCCTAAAATATAAGTTTAACATAAAACAAGGACTTTAAGAAAGTAGTAGAAAGCTGACCCAAATGCTTCCGTTCAAAACTGAAAAAAAAAACAATCTGTTAAAAACTAACCTAAATCACGTTAAGGTTTTAGGCAAAGGGGAGATAATTACCGAACGGAACACCGTGGAAAGCTGGAAGTAGATACGATTCGTCCTTTCATGACCGTAATGCTTTAAATCACATTTTAAAAAGAAATATTACAAAATGTATTCTTTATCGAGTTCACAAAACTATTCGGGTAAAGGAAGAATAACTCCGAAACAGAAAGTCACGGAACACTGAATATAGATAGGGTTTGTCCTCTCTTGACCCAAATGATTCGTACTAAATTTTCAAAGAATCTGTCGAAAACTATTGCATCTTTCATAGACATGATGCTTCATACTAAAAAAGAATCCGTGTAAAACGCAAGCCTCGACCGCGTTCACCAGCGATTTGTTGACGGACGAAGGGCCATGGTGGTGACATAATACGCCCACACTGAAATGTGGGCGTGTACAAATTGAAAATGATTCTGGAACAGGTATAGCCTATATGACATCTCGTACACATGGTGTACATAATGATACAACTGTAATGTAGTAATTTGTAAAAGCTACCAAATCTTCTGACACCTAACAGTAAGTACAGACAGAACGCACCACACATACACAATACGAAAGACAACCCCGCGACACGATGTACAATATGCTCAGACATTGCAAGAAAGAGACAACAAAATTATATATCAGATCAAGAAGAGTCCACTGCTATATAAACTCTCGCTTGGTAACCTGGCCCTATTCAGCTGGGTATTAACGTTTGGGCAGCCGGATGTCAGATGTAAAATCAAAATAATATTAACAAATAATTAATCAAACTAAGGATGGTCTTAATAAATGCATACAGTTTGATTTAATTTGAGAGTCCTTACATGCCCGAATCGAATCTAAATGGTTGATGGTCTTTTTTTCACAAGCATTATGTCATCTACTAAACTGGAATTGGGGGAAAGGTCATTCTTCCCATACTCTGTTCTGGTACATGGTGGAAGCGACATATAACTGTGTACTTCATTGTTCACGGTACATCCGTTCAGAGCATCGTATAGATTAAAGGTATGAGTCGATGTATCATCATCATCGACTGTGTCATGTGTCGATGTATCACCATCATTATCGGCTATCTGGACATCTTCTATATTGGTAACCGAATTGCCATCAACATTGGTTTCTTGGACAACATCACTTTGGTCAATTTCACAAGTTCCGGAATTCTGTAGTGGCATATAAAAGTTCTTGGTGGTATCAATACCACCTCTGTTGATAGGCTCGTAAGGATTGGTATACGCATCCGTATCGTTAGATGAAGTAGATTCAGTAGGAGTTGCAGTAGATCGCCGGTTGGCATTGAATACAACCGCGCTGTGCATTGAAATGTAGGAATGATTGCTATCACTTGTGGTATTACCGGCAGGCCCAGGTATCGCTGATATACGTGATTTACGCTTACGACCTGTAAAATAAATTGCTGGTAATGAAATACGTAATGGAGTTTATCGTATCGTAATGGTATAACAATAATATTATGAGTACAATGAACCAATCCTGATATCAATAATATTACGAGAAGACACACACTGAGTGTGAAATGTCTGCTTAAATAATACACGGTGCAATCAATTGTATAAACCACGGTTTTTATAATTTTAATTAGAGATAAACACTGTTTAGAATTTAGAAGTGGTTTTTAATCCATTTAACCATGCTTGGATAATTTGAACACAGGACGTTCTAAGTTGTTCTAATGGATAATTCACGCGTGGTTAATGAACAATAAACCCCCGATATTCCACCCGATTAAATTTTATTACATACTTCGAGAAGGTATTTGTTGAGTAATAAAACCTTCTAGTAGTTTATCGAGGGCTGCCCGTCATTACCGCACGGTACAAATATTATCACCACTAGAAGCAACAAATTCCAGAACAAGCCAGAACTCATACCAAAATGGCCGCTTTATACAAATGAGTATTTAGTACTAACCCGAACCCTAACCCTAACCCTTTTAAGAGAAGTAAAAACTAAATTAGACCCAAGTTCAGTCTTTTAAAAAGGGTAAGGGTTAGGGTTCGGGTTAGTTATCCTCAAAATTCTCATTTATATAAAGCGGCCATTTTGGACTCCGGAAACACCCGAACCTCGATAAACTACTAGAAGGTTTTATTTGTACCGTGCGGTAAGGACGGCCAGCCCTCGATAAACTACTAGAAGGTTTTATTTGTACCGTGCGGTAAGGACGGCCAGCCCTCGATAAACTACTAGAAGGTTTTATTACTCAACAAATACCTTCTCGAAGTATGTAATAAAATCTAATCGGGTGGATATTCGACAAATGGACGTGTTTATCGATATTGTAGCTTAAATATTTTGGGATGTTCATTGGAACTATTTAAGAAACAATTTACGCCCATTTTAAAATGACGTTATTTGAGTATCCGGTTAATAAATTATGAAAGAAAATGTTTCAGATATTTTTAAGAGATTAGGAAATGAGTCATAATGCGGTGTTTTTGGCCGGCAATGTTAGCCGTGATTGAAATAGTTTGCAACAAAGGTGGTTTTGCATTCGCAGTATCAGCGAAGGTTCACATTGGTGATTTTTTAGTCATTATTATCTTATTTGCAGTCGTCAACACAATTTTGTTGCTAGTTTTTGTTCAGATAAGAGCATGTCGTGCTATATACATCCCCAAAATAGCTCATAAAACTATTGATGCCTATGATTCTAGCGGTCACAATGTATACCGTTATGACGTGGTTTCAATCATTTAAAGTTTGGCATACGTCCAGTTTAGTAGGCCTATTTCAGTTACTATTTTCGCCTCCCTTATTATATTTTCATGCGATAGTCAGAATATGATCAAACGGTGATTATAAAAATTCCACTTTATTAAGGAACAATTGTTCAATGAAGCTAGCCTAGCAAAACCGAAATCAAAATTATCCACTCTGCCTATTTACGGATGATTTAGAATACCTGGACACGGTTTCAATTAATTTATGACTGATTTTCCACTGTTTTATGTATTTCAGGGATGTGGTTTGATAAAAGTTTCTGTTTGAAAATAATGTGATGGTCATTTGTGCAGAATTTCTTGAAGATATTTTACAATAATCATCTGAGTCGAGGAAATTCACTGTGCACAAACATGTACACTCAAATCCATATGCAGTTAATCGCCTGGAGATGTATTGTCCATTCGTCCATACTTCTCGACCCATGAGAATCGAGGACATTTCTGATTTGTGCTAGAATACAGTAATAACTACTTACTATGAACAACAATTCCTATTATGAAACATGTTAATAATATAAGTATCAACGACGCTATCATCAGACTTCTTTCAAAGGTCGTCGTCTTCTCTTTTTCGGGCATGACTAGACGAAATAAATTACACAATATTTAGATTCAATCACTGATTACGACATAACTTTTTCTAGAACTACAACACCCCCCACCCTCCCGCCACCATATGAGCAAAAGTACGCGTACATATATCGCCATATTATTCATACCGGTGTAGCTATAGCATGAGAGGGGGTAGTTATAGAACCAGTGGTTGCCAGGCAAGGAACGCCCACATTTTGCAAGAGATGGATAGAGAACAAGCTAAGAAGAAAACGTGATTTTCTTACAATCAGGGGCTATAAATCGGATAAATATTGTGACCTCTAAAGGGACCACAAGCAAAAACGCGATGGTTTGTTCATAAGGGGGCATAATCCAGGAAGTTACGGCCTGACAGCGCGATATCGAAAGGAACCGAGATCTTTGGGTTATAAACTTACATTTCAAGTTTCATCAGAATCTGAAAACATTGTGACCCCTAGACTGTCCACAAACTAATAATGTGATTTTGCGCATAATCAGAGGCCATAATCCATGAAATTGCAATCCGATACATGCCAATATCAAGTTTGGGAGATAACCTTATATAGGGTGACCCACCATAAATAAATATCTCCAAATATCTCGACAATTACGCCACAATATTTATATAAATACTAAGCCTTAAATCAGTTTCACACAATTATAGTCACTAACTAAACGATCATGTTGTACTTAATAAGCTATGACCATTTAATCATCTATAAATAATAGACTGAAACTGGTTCCAAGTTTCGCCCATAACATCCAGACACTTTTGAGTAAAAGATAGGTTACGTGCCCTTGTTTTGAAATAAGTCTCGCTTAACCAGTGTACCGACCATTCTACGTCTGATTGACAGGTCGGGATAATCAAGACTACCTTTTTACGAAACATAACAGAAAGCTGGAACAAGAAATTGAATTTAGAAACACGCACGTTAGCCAGCTCAACAATTGTTTTAAGAAACTTGTAAAAGTAAAATGAAACTACTCCTAGTATCATGTTCCTGCTAACAAAAGTGATTCAGAGATATAATTTGTACTAAACCAAAAGATGCCGCTCTTAACGGTACAGTTAATGATAAAGCAATTTAAAAAATAAAACGAACGTAATTTCTAAAGCTGCTGTAATAACCAAAAAGCTAAATTTTACTGCTATTCAAAATCGTCAACAATAGATTTTTTACGGCTGTAATAGTTGATAGATTTGTAGAGAATTGCACGTGCCATGGCTATTTATAGTATCATACACTCCACTGCTGATCGTTCGAGACAACCACTAAAGCGTGCACATTAGCCGTGTCGAGACCAACTTTCTGTAGAGTGCACGGGTCACTCTACCTTATATTTCACGTTTCGTCAAAATCAGATAAAAATTGTGAGCTGTAGAGTGTCCACAAACAAATTGTGGAGGGCGGCAAGGACAACAATATACGTCCACATGAAAATGTGGGCGTATATAAAGTTATGTTATGAGTATTGATAATATGATTATAAATGTTAGTTATAGAAATGGATATGAGAATTGATCAAACTGATCTATATATTGAATAGAGCATGTTATATCGGGGTTATGCGCAACTAACCTGTGTCAGATTGTAGAATTAATTCAATCATTGCAGAAACAACCTTGTTATTGGTAAATATAACTTCACACTTATAGATAGCATCATAATCTTGTATAGTTGTATTCAGTATAATGAGAGATATATGTCCTCCACCTAATATAGAACGGTTATGAAAGATCAGTCTGCCGTCATCTATAACTGAATATACATTTTTCCAATTAACTTCTCCAGGTTCATACTGAAATTAAAAAGGTGAGTGTACTGTGAGGCTAATTACACGTGTATTGAAAACAACAAGCCAACAGCTGTTGTCTCCATGGGCGTACGGGTTCGGTGAATTTTGGAAAATTTGACGGCCGGAAACGGATTTTTCTGGCCCCAATCGTGATTTAAGACGGTTGTATTAACATCTTCTTTTTCTATGTAACTGGTTTGCACGAATAAAATGAATCCCAAATCCCAAACAACCAATCAATCGTCGTGGATTATGGGGGACTCGTGTTTTTTGCTATTCTAGTCCGTGAATTAAGCAACCTGAAAGTTTCCAATCGGTTTGCAACCGAAATCCCACTCTATGCCGTGCCGACCTGAATTCCAACCAACCAATCAGACTTGCAGCTGCATTCATAAATAATAATCGATGCCCGAACAATGTCGAACAAAGTAGAGTGGCTCCAGACAAAATGTTTTAATCCATAGTAAATTCAGTACAAATTTGTGGTATTTAATTAAAATAAAAGTAAAATTAGTGTTTTATTAGGTTTTGGGCACTTTATTTTGCCATCAAGATGAAATAATAATTTTTGTTTTCACTTTAACCGTCTGCTCGAAATGTCAGAGTGCCCGAAAGTTAGGATGGGCACCTGCCCCCCTGTCTCGTACGCCTATGGATGTCCCCCGCCAGATTGAAAAAGTAATTAGATAACACACATTGTTTAATTTCTTCGAAATGAGGGGGGCAACAAGAACTATGGATAACTCTTATGAGTAGTAAAAAGCCGACCGCAATCAATTATCTGCACAAGGTTACTTGAACATGATATATTGCATATGTGTTTCTTTCAAATGATTTACCTTATCTTTCCCATACATCCCCGTACGTGAGCCTGTGGTTGCCTGGAAATGATATATTGTAAATATCTTCTTGGTGAACGTGTAAATGCCCCTTTAAAATGATTTACGCCGCCTTGTCGATATATCCACGTACGTGGGCCTAAGGTTTCTTGGCATTTAAACATTGCATATATTTTCTTGGCGAGCGTGTTAATGACTTTTTACAAAGTATCGCGTTTATTATCGAAGTAGTTGCGTGGGGGAGATTTAATACAATCAAAATGTTTCAACTTACTTTAAATCCGGAGCTATTTGAACGGCTGATGTTAATGCCTATTGCTGGAAAGCTGTAGTAATATGTAAATACTAATGTTATCATGTTGCCTATTTTGCCATGCATTTGCTGGTTGTGAGGAACTTTCATTCTGGGTCCTACATCTTGGAGAAATATAAATGAGACAAATAATAATAATCATGTAGTTTATGATTGCGCCCACTCCATCCATATTGCATGCTCAAAGCGCGTGGAAGATAATAACAAATGCTGGTAATAAGAAATGAAATGGGGTTTAACGTTCAACTGTTTTGCTCTGACTGGGCGAGTATCGAAATTGGGCACACCAATGTGTACTCGGGAACTCGGGTTTTCGTCCCGTCCGAACGAATATACGCTGCCCCCTTGCCATCCCTTTTGCCCTGCGCCACTGACAAAGGGGATTCATGCCCGAAAATCCTTATTAACTTTCTTAGCCAACACCGGGATCAAACATGGAACCTCAAAAGTAGCTTTTAGTCGTCAATTGTACATGCATCTTATTTTGAAACCATCACAATTATTTTTTTACGTTTCCCGAAACGTGTCATAATACAACCAACGATTTGACACCTGACATTCAGCATTTGAGTATCGTTTCAAGATCGTTAAAGGCACATTGACCAAGGCTAAAACATTTATGGGCAAAAGCACACACAGGTCTTCTGCCTCAACTATTCGTGGAAGTTGGTTTGCATTCCTTACCTCCTCGGTGTGATAAGTGATTCTAAGGCAAAAAAGAGGACAGTGGGCATGGTGGCGGACAACTTTAAGAAACGGTTATGAAGGCGGCATATTGTAAGTGAAGGGTCTTTAGTTTTCCGAAACGAGACAGATCGGGTAACGTTCTTTGGCAAATCGATGGGAATGACGTGAACATGCTCTAGACTCTTTAAATTTGTTGATGTTTGATTGAATTAAAATCCCAATACATAAATTAAATAAGGGTAATGCATACAAAAAAGCTATAAGATAGATAAGCCTAGTAATGCCATAATCATGATCCAATCCCCATCAAATTTATGGGTAGAAATAACTCCGATGCACCATATCATCGACGTCTTATCTGCACGTTCGACACTTTATCCACAACTTGTCTGCGATATCACCTCGGTGAAAGCGGACGTAAAATACAACTAACAAACAACAACATTTATCCACAACAAAATGTAACATTTTACACATAGTCATTAAAATTAAATCTCACAAACCTTGAGTAAAAATTAGCTTAGTCTCATTATAACCCGAGAGTCCATCACTAAATGTAATATTACAGCCATATATAGTATTAAAATCATCATCAACCGTCTTTAATATGGTTAGAATAATATTTTCTCCGCCAAACACTGCAAGTTTTCCGAATAGCAATCGGTTTTCTCCTATATTTGATTCAAATCTGTTTTTAGTCCAATATCCAATTCGGACCTGTAATATTAAAAAGACAAAAGCAAAACCTGACTGATCGGTAACAACGTAAAACTTATTTCGAAGGACACGTACGCTATGGAATATCGTTTCCATTCCATAAAATATGCCTTCAATTTAAACTAAAGAGTTTTGATGGCAGGAGCATTTATAACACACACAAGTACTTTGATTCTGAATCTCAGTAGGAATCCTTTATATGTATAGCTGAACGATCCATATTATTTAAGATCAATTAAGATTATCACCCTTACCTGTCCACGTAATTCATTGTATATATTAAAGATGGTGCTTGTTGCTACGGCGCTATATCGATAGGTCCATACAAATGTAACATTTTCTGATGGTCGCCCTGCCAGTTCAGTCTTTAAACTACTAACACGCGGTGCTACGAATACAAAAAAAACATGTTCCAGTCAACTATGATAATGTCTGTCTACTACATCGTTAACACTGTTCATCACGTGTATTTTGCATACCGATAGTCCATTGGCCAATCACGCTATTATACCAAGATTTCGCCTAATAGTTTGGATGCAGCTATGGCGGGTGTGGCGCCAGGCAGGGTAAGCTTACTCTTCCGGACACCTGTTACCACTGTTTGTCGTGTATTTTGTACACGGTGAACAGTCCATATGCTGATTACACTATTTTGCCTTATTACACTATTTTGCCTATACCGTTTTTTTAGGACTTCGAATTTTGTCTAATGGTTTGGATTGTTCGTACTTGGTTTTATTTTATTTTTATAGCTTACGTTTTATTTTATTTTTATATAGCTTACAGAAACCGTCCAACAGTTTACCCGGTGTGAGGAGTTTCTACAACAAAGACAAATCGTTTAGCAAGTTGATTAATATGCAAGAAAATCAAATAAACATGATACCGGTTTCAAATATCGTGGGCTGAGGATTATCTGGTTCTATGACCACTTTTTGTTAAATTGAGAAAAAATGGGTGTGAAGATTTGCATCACTGTATTGTGAAACTCAGTGAATTATTAAAATATTTTCAGTTGTTGAAGCTATCAACATTAGAAGCTAGCAGAGTGGTGTTTCTCAGTGTGAGTGTGATTCAATTTGGTCTAGAAATACGATAAATGGAGATAAGACTTTGCAGTGTACAAAATGTAATAAATTGTCCGGCACAAGGAGATACAACTATGTGTCTGAATCACATAGTTTTAAAAGAGGTGTTATTCGTAATCTCATCAAATCTGATAAATATCACGACTTTTTACAAAAACAACGTTGATGGCTCCATTTTAAAATATTCTTAAAGTAAAAATGACAGCCAATCATATATTGGTGTTACTGGGAACGATTTAAAACGTATAGCCTATGTCGAGAAATCTCGACCTCTGGCGATCTAATGGAAATAACCTGTGACGTGAACATGTTTTAATGAGAATTAACTATTACTATCTCACACGAACCCTTAAAATGATTTCAACAAAACATTAAGTCGCATTAAGGGGCCTAACAATCAATACCTTTCTAATTGTTCCACGATTTCATAAATGTATTTAAAATTTTCAATTCGCTGCACTCAGCCTTAGGAAATACCTCTGATATAAGCTTGATTGTTGGTTTTTCTGTCATGTTACTCGTAACAAAGTGATTGTCAATATATACTAGATCACTGTGGGTAATGCGTATGAGGTAGCATTCGAGTTTCTATATGAGAGAAGCACAAAAGATCCTAATCGGGAAGAAACAAATGTAGGAATTTGATCAAATCGAAAAACTATAAGTAGACAATTTAAATAAAATAACGTCTTTGGCATCATGTATCCTAGGACGAGTTGGGCAATAGTATCGGGTATCCGTGGGTGAGTGGGGCAGTATTATATGGTATCCTACGAGTGGGCCAGTGGTATAAGTTATCCTAGGAGTATTTGTAGAGTGTTATCAGGTATCCTAGTTGAGCAATGGTATCACGTATCATAGTAAGAAATAGACTGTGGTATGAGGTGAAACAATTTTCAATGCCAGATACATCACTTACTCATCTGCTATTGCAACTGAAAAAAAGCCTTTGATGGACATATCGATATCCAACCTTAACATTATATTCTAATGTATCCAATGCAATACTATCTAAACGGTTTAGGCCTTATTTGGATATGTTTATTATTGAACTAATCAAGTATCAAACTAAAGGTGTCTATTGTTAATAAAACATTATAATGAGCTTAGTATATTCCTTACCTTCAACAAGCGAAACCGGTTCAGCATACCTGACACAGTTGTGGTTAAATTGTATTTTCATGTTATAAATAAAGTTAAAATCTTCAATACTTGTGTTATGTATGGTTAACATCACTACTTCTGTACTACCATCATCACTCTCCGTTATATTGAACTTCATTCTTGGGTCGTCTCCTTTAACAATTAGCATCCCATTTTCCCATTTACCTTGATCAGCATACTGTATAAATAGTGTAATTCATTGTAATCAGTTAAATCCCCTATCCTTATATTTAATTGTTTGTATATAGCTGTGTGTTCTTGGAACTTTTTCAAATTGCATCTACTTAAGCGATGCCCCCGGACATATTGCGGGGTGTTCACGTTATCTATATAGACGTATGTTATTGCTGCATGCCATGGGTTCAATTTCAAGTTTGTGTGTGACAAGCAGAAGCCCAGCCTGCCTTACATATTGGGGTTATATGTCGGTAATCCGGTTTCCTTCCCTATTCTTTATAGGTCTCTGTACGTGACAAGGAGTAGGGTCCCCTGTCCAACTTCGTGGGTTTTCTCCGGGTCCTCCGGTTTCCTTCCACTGCTAAAGACCCCTACGCGCAAGCGAGTTATGGCAATAAAATTGAACCATATGTTAGTCCCGAAATGACCTAGTTTGTGTCGAGTGGACGTTAAACCCCATTTTTCTCTCTCTATCGGTCTGGAGGGACTGTGCATGTATTCGTTACAAAACTGGAAATAGAATAAATGACGTTTCTTTTTCGTCTAACTTTAGTGATATAATCAAACTGAACAATTTAAATTCTTTAACATTTGTCACTTATGCACACGAATGTCTAAAACATATGATCTATTTCAAATATTTTGAAAAATTACGAGGGTTAGTTGAATAGATTTTTCTGAAATTTGGAAAGGTCGTCGCCTGTAGTTTTATTTAAAAGCTTACTGGATTTTAAAAAAAATCCGAAATATTAAGGAATTTTTGGTTTGAAATTTGTAAATAATTACTGGAAACTACAGTTAGCTTTCGACAATAGAAATGCAAAATGTTTTTCAGATTCTTTAAGAAACCAATAACTCCTTATTTATTTCAAACGGGCCAAATTTTATAAACGCTTCAACCTACGAAATCGGTAGTTCCAAGTGATTGTTTATAAACTGATATATTATGTTGATCAATATCAATAACAAAATACTCCCACGTCATTGATACATCATCTCCAACACATGCTCTAACAACTGATGGGCTATACTTCCATAGCTTATCTGCAAATATAAATAAACTAAGTAACGGACAATGTTTTGTAAGTAGCATATTGTTTTAGTGATAATTAGGTCACTCTAAGATAGAACTTGAATAGATTTTGATGTGACATTGGAGAAACTCGTGTGTCAGAATCTGGCATAATAATATGGAAATCTTGATGATTGTCCTATATGACGATGATTAATCCCAGTTATAGGTATACAAAATTGGAAATGTCTTTATGGGTCAAAGGTAGGATCTAGAACATGGAACTCTTAATATAGTTCTTAATAAACATGTTTATCAAGTATGTAATAGTAAAATGTGTGAAAACCTGAGGCTAATATTAAACCAGGTGACCACATTAACAGTATCTGTCTTATACTACAAGTACATGACAATTAGCACGAAACACGACCTCAACATCTAAAAGAGATATTCATATGTCTTTCTTATTTTTGTTAAATTAAACGGAGTGAGATTCTCAAATTAACTACCTTAATTTACAACCTTCAAGCGTTTTGAACATACTCACTGTGTGGAATAGCACTATATTATTTACCTTTGACTGTTAGGTATAAGTCTGCCCATTTATCAGTTATATCATTATCCCGACATCTATATGTACCAGCATCATTCATTGTAATGTTGTCAATGGTTACACTGATTCTGTGAACTTGATGTCCTTCTATATGGTACCTGTTACTATTGGTCAAGTTGTATTCAATACCGTTTCCTGAAATCTTAAATTTAAGAACAACTTGACCCACCATTCATTTTATTATTATATGAATTAATCTGTACAAATTCCTCTGATAATATTTAACTAAATTCACCGGCCTTCTACATTACAGGTGCTAATAAACGCTGAACCTACTTTGGGGGGGGGGGGGGGCGAATGGTTAGCACGTGCGCGCTGTATTATAAGGCCTGTCATTGAGTCAACTGGCGTGGTTTCGAATCCCCGGTTGTACGTGACAAGGAGTAGGGTCGCCTGTCCAACCTCGTGGGTGTCCTCTGATTTCCTCCCACTGCTAAAGACCCCTACGCGCAAGCGAATTATTGAAATAAAATTAAACCATATGTTAGTCCCGAAATGACCTACTTTGTGTCGAGTGGACGTTAAACCCCATTTCTGTCTCTCTTTCTCTGAACCTACTTGTCAGAGTGTAATGACCAATACTCGAATGAAAACAATCGGATATCGTGCTGGAAGAATATATTATTTAATGAATGTTTTCTGCCAGAGGATTATGCCGTGAATATTTACATTTTAACAACTAATCAGTGAAATACGTGATCCAAATTATTATTTAAATTTCTTCTTGGGTATGCTAGGGTTGACGACAAAGCGAATTTGATAATTCACGATCCATGCTGAGAATTTGCATTTATAAAAGGAGTAGCATTTGTGCGTAGAAGGCGATTTTGTATGTCATTTTTATTATACGAACACTTGATAATGTGAACAGGTAGTCCACCGCGGTAAAATTATTTTTTTCTTTGCCTTAGAAGCCCGTGCATCAGAACGTAGTCCTCTATGAGTCTTTTATTTTGTATATACTTCTCCCCACCACATAATTTCTCCAATCCCAGCCAAAGGAGATCGTTATAGAGTATCAACGTTAATTGTTAAATTTGTTTTATACGAACATCATACTGAACAACATTATTCATTATAAAAGGGTAAAATATTAGATATATAGACGTTAAATTCAATCAATTCAATATTAGTTACATGGCAAAGGTTGAAATTTAATATGACCAAGAACATGAACTCTTTAAGTCTCGGTCACCCAGAACACCCTAATCCTCAACGTACGGGGATGTCTGGATCGGTTGTCAACATTTGACGAAATTTACTACTGGATAATCAACCACATAAAATAACAGGGTTGCGCATGGGTAATTATGATTAATAAAACATAGATATGGTCCTTGAAGAGAGAAAATTAAAAAAAAAAGAGTGCTTAATTTTTCTGAAATGGCAATTCTTAAATTAATTTCATGTATGTGAACATCAGGTTTTAGAACCAGTTACCTAAAGTAAAGATAACTAGCGAATGACCTAGTTATTCTTAATGTTGGCAATCCATTCAGACTTATATTCGTAAAATAGTTGTCCGAATGATACAGACTACAACTCTTTGCGGCAAAAAAAACCCCTACCGCTGCAATGTCAGGGGTGGCGATCAACTTTTGAATAATATAAAAACAAACATCAAATGGTTATATCACACAAAAATCTAACGTAGCAATACCTTAATTCTTTGTGAATGAATAATATTAAACTTACCTTGTAAATGGAAACGGATTGATAGTCGCCGAATAACTCCCAGTGTAACTGGGCTCGACAACCAACAATAGCACTGGCATTGTTAATACCGTCTATCCATTTATAGGAAAATATTACTTCTGTGAGAAAAAGAAAACCGCACTCTAAGAATTATTACTTTCATTTGTAGAGTAATGTAATCCAAAGGAAACAAGTAAATTAGTATAGGTTTCCTTGGCTTGTTTTTATATCCCTTTCTGTATGCCTTTAACTTGTACAGTAATTTCGAAATAAGTACTGTTTAAACCAATGTAGTCTGATTTGAAAATTAGTTAATCTATTTTAAAACAGCTATATGCGTCGCATATTAGCTTGATTAGTTTTTGATATATACTATATGCATGTGTGGTCTTAGATGCCTTCAGTAAGCGTAATTACATATTATTATTACTACAAGGATACTCGATACCTTACATTCATTAGCCAATATTAGCATGAGTACTAGCCAATAAAAGGTTACATTAATTGTTAAATAGCATTAATGAGGACCTAATATTAATGGTTAAATAGCTTTAATGTAGACCTAATAAAGTCAATCTGCTGCATCTGAGGCATCAAATTATCATATTAATTGGGCTAACAAGAACAACCAGAGGACAACCATACCCCACATAAAACGGACAAAAATAAACGATACGGCCATCTTAGCCATAAAGACATGTCAAAAGTATATATTGTAACAATCCGGGTATACCCGGTAAGTCACTTAAGAAATACAAAATACTCCACCGGAAACTTGACAAGTAACATTGTTGGCCTACACAAGAAATTACACAGCAGTCAATCGGTGATCTTAAATAGGCTGAATCTCTATTCGTTTGAGACTAAAATGGGTCAGAATAAGTTTATATAAACTGGTTTACATTTATTTTTTAATGTAATATCTAATCAGTGCAGTCTACATTACGGTTTAACATTCACTTATAATTAATTAAGGTGCCTCACCACAAATTATGCTCGAAAATGGAGTACACGCACGCGTTATTTGTTTTAAAATAAATTAATTAAGAAAGAAAGACAACATTTTGCAAAAGATGGACGAAGAATTGGTAAAATCGATAGAGCTCACCCTCTCATGGTCCCAATGGTTCACATTTGAAAAAAAAACTATTTAAAGCTTTAGACTTTATCTTATTCAGAGGGTTTTCGGCAAATGGGGGTAACTCCGGAACCAAAGGTTGCGGACCGCTGACTATTGATAAGGTTCGTCCTCTGATGATCCCGATGCTTCACAAATGACCTGTTAAAAACTAGACCCTACCGCATTCACTAAAATTTCAGAATAAGGGGGCATAACTCTGGAATATTGATTATCGATAGGGTTCGCCATGACACTACTTCAAACCTATTTGAAAACTATAGCGTCTACCGAGTTCACAAAGTGTTCGGAGAAGAGGGCTCATCATTCCACACCGAATTTCTGTTGTACCTTAACATATATTTAAAGTTTCACTTCAATCAGATAAAATTTGTGGGCCCTAGAAATCCAAGAACTGTTGTACATGTATCACATTTTGCATACAAGACAAGGACCATAACCCAAGATGCTCAGGTCAGAGACATACCAACATCGAACCAATTAACATTTGAATCGGGCACAAGTTGTTGCCTCTGGGATTTTAATTATTCAATTAATAATTAGCTAATTACTCAAAACCTTCCAGGCTAGCAGATCCAATCACGAGAAATGGATTCAGTGTGTCCGAATTCAAATAAAACCGTCGAGAAAAAATTTCGGATATTTCGTAAACCGCCACCGGACTATATCGGTGGTAAATTTAACAACAGACAAGCCTTCAAGGACCACCCCGTAGATGAAGATAGGTGCCATTTATTTACATAAATAAAGGGAAGCATTTTTGTCATCACCTGATAATTATCAAAAACATTTGTCGCTGGCCCTAAGGCAATGGCCTTACTTGTCTAATGGTTAAACCGGCACTGGTGGATACACTCTCTTTTCAAATCAGAGGATTTCTTTAACATTTCAATCTATTCCGATAGACTTTTGATCGGTAGGTATATAACAATCATTAGCATCAAGTCTTTTTGATAACACATCCGTTATAATTTTAGTACAAATTATTGATATTGTTTTGTTTATAACCTCAATGTGTATATTATTTGTTACATGTCCTGAAGTATTCAGCGAATACATTTTATAGAAAATCACGACCTCATTAACCACGAGATAACAGATTTTTTTAGGATTTGGTATAATAGTTTCAATAGTATCATTTTCTCAAGCAAACCGGTGTAGATATATCTTGGAACATGTAACTGTTTATGTCGTAATTATGTCGAAATACATAACCCAAAACCTTGAAAAATTAACATAACTCACCGGCAATCATGTACATATATATTGCAAACTGAAATAATGATTTGATCTTCATTTTGTCATCAACTGAATATAAAACATGAAAAATAACATAAATTCTGCTTCAAATAACACTTGCATGAAACAAAATAACAATATCAAACAGCAGTTTATTCATTAGACCAGAAAACGATTCCATGTACATGTACATGTACTATAATTCATTTGCTCACCTGGCAAAGGTAGCTTTATTTAATAAAGAATTAATATAATAACTACTTTGGTTCTAGAAATATTACAGGCACGGACGACAGGAAATGGGTTTTATCAATACCCAACTGACACGGGGAATTGTTACTTAACGAAACGATAAACGCAATAGCTTTTGTCATATCTTTTCGAAAACTATATTTCTATATAACATTGTATACCTACCTTGTTGTTACGTTCTATTACCCCTGTACCTTTATTCGTATAATAATTAAAAATATGACTATAGCCTTTAATGATTCATACGAGTGACTAAAATACTCGTGTTTATTTTAAAAAGATTACACGTGTAATTGAACTCTGAGAAATAATCTTTGAAAATATATTTGTCGACTTTGATGTACTTTGATAAAGCACTTTGATCCAATCGTGATAAATTCTGTTTTGTCATCATTTAGTTGCAACATATTTGTGGACATCCAACTTTTTAAGTTTGAGTGCATTTGTTATGCACTTTGAGAAGATAGTTCAAAGTCTGCATAAGAATGATGTAAAACACAGAATATGTCCTAGTACCGAGCCTTAATGTTCTCGGAGTTTAGGGTTAACAGCCTTCTCCAATGAAGATCAGATCGGATTCCGGACCAAAGTTTTAAAATATATTCCGATCAAAATTGTCTTTCTTCAGCAGGGATCGTACAACTGCATGGTTGAAGATGCGTGGAAAGTTTCCACCTATTATATTAATAATGTATTATTGTAGTAATATTTAAATGTTGGATAAATATATGAGCAAGTATAGGAACGTTATACAAGTTTATAGCTTAGGGGAAACAATTATTTCGGATAAGAAACAATTTCAAGAAGAAATTCCCCAGAGAAATTGCGACAAAAAGCAGTGACAATATCGAAGGTGACTGCAGTAGAAATTTGTTCACTTCGAATCTTTTCTACATCTTGTAAACAAAACATTAATTTTGTTAAATGAATCAGCATTCTTTTAGAATGATTATATATTTAATATTGATTTCATGGACATTTGTGTTCTGAACCCAGTAAGTAAGCCCTACCTAATGGGCATCACCCGTCACTATTTAATGTAACAAGTTCAAACCGGTTGTGATCATAAAATTGTGACAGATATCAACAGTAACGGTTACTTGTTATGATACGTGTTTGTAACGTAACACATTTAAATCTTCCACCATACCATTTATAACATGTTCTTTAGCATAGCAAATTCAGCCTTTATGAGTTGACAGTATTATAGTCATTTTTATACTCTTTTTAAAATAAATATCTATGCGGTTTTGTCACGTAACAACGAGTTTATTCATTATCAACATTTAATACACACTTGGGTTTATTCTTTGGGAATACTTTTTACTTTGAAATGCATTAAGCAAAAGGTTTCTTTGAATCGTAAAATCCCGGAGAATAAACATTCTGTTGAAAGGACAGCGCCCAGTCGCTTGAGACAGAAATATAGGTCGTCAAACCTCATTTTATTTATCTATTTTCGAATAAATCGGATCAAAGACTAATTACGCCCGGTTGGTATTAAAATCCACTTTCATAACTATGCCCATGACAACATGTGTTTTACATCTATTACACTCATCTTTCATACAGGAAATGGAAACCTTTTGTGGTCTCAATGTTGTGATAAATGTTATTTTCAAACAAAATATTTCAATGTGTTTGTTATGTTATGCGTGAATACATTTCCGTTTTTCAAACAACGTGAAAAGAAATAGAAACGTGGCTCGATAACCAGGAGGTCCGGGGTACAAAGCCCAGTGTTGTCCGTGAAGGTCCCCTGGGATTTTCCAGCGTAGGCGGAATTCGAAATTAAAGTAGGACGTAGCGCAATTGAGAGGACACACTTTCCTTCATGACATATTGCATGTCGTGCGTCCGTCTTTATTATATGAACCGGTGTAGGACGTTAAATCCCATTTCGTTTCCTTTCTGAAAAGAAATAATTGTTAGATTTGGCATTTTATTCATGACAGTGCATTTTATTTTATTGATGTAAAGATATTTAGAAGTCAAGATTTGTATATAGTCTACATTTATTAGATAGTACTTAATATAACACCCGGGCGGTTAAGAGCTGGATTGACTGGAAACAAACATCTACATCCAGAATAAACCAAGCAAACGCCCTCTTACATCGTTTTCGTTGCGTCACATGATCAAAACGTCGAAAAGAAGATCGCTCAAGAAAAATGTTGATGAAAATTGTATTAATCTAAAAACAAAAATATCGTTAGCCGAAAAGGTAGAAGATGGTTTTCGTTGTCTGTGATAATAAAACCTAGACTCATGAGTAAGGAATCCCCTGTGGTAAATTTTTATGTCTAATAGGGAAATACAATTTTATCATATATTTGTTACATTTAACCAGGTCTATGGACACTAGTAAAGTAGAACCTCCTGGGGACGACATGTATTCTACATTGATCACTAATTTTGTTTTTAAAGCATATTTTATTAAATAAAAAAATAAGCAAATTACTGTGCTGGTTTTGTATTTCAAACATAAAATTTCAAATAGAAGCGTGCAGGTGGGACAGACCATAAAGAAAAAAGAATTATTTGTCAATTTAAATCAACATTGTTGTTGTGATCTTACCAGGAAAAGATGGGCTTCCAATCCGATTAAAACACAGATCCTACATCGGTTTTTTTTTTTGGGGGGGGGGGTTAGTTCAAAAATTTCGTTTTATACTATTATCTACATAATGCATCTTTAAGTTACAAATTACAAGAAAGTGGGTTATACGAGTACAGACGAGTACGTGGCGTTCTATTGGGGTTTTCACTTACAAATTGAATCAATGACATTTTACGATGCATAGTTGTAAAGTGCCTTTGAATATTGTATGAAAAGGGCGCTTTATAAATCTATGATAATAATGTGATTTTTCGGCTTAAATATAGGAGGATAGGCTGGTTGACACCACGATACGAGGTTCATTTAAGAAGGGAGAATTGCACGTCCGCACCTTTGTGTGGACAAACTAAATATGACGATAATTGAAGTGACATGTTTAGTTATAAAGTGACTAACAGATTAGTAAGCATTAGTTTTAGATGACCTAGATCATTGGGTATTCACAGTAAACCCCTTTTTCCGAGGGCTATATTGTGAATTGCCATTTCAGGACACAGCTGTGGGTTATGTCTTATACCAAGATCGATTTAGATTCAACTCAGCACGTTAATTAAGACTATTTTAGGACGTCACCCACTTGCTGCTGCTTCCATATTTTATTAAATAAAAAAATAAGCAAATTACTGTGCTGGTTTTGTATTTCAAACATAAAATTTCAAATAGAAGCGTGCAGGTGGGACAGACCATAAAGAAAAGCGAGAATTTGTCAACTTTGTAATGCAGCAATAGGAAACCTTTCTTATGCACATATGTTAAAACCGAACTTTTCGTATTAAAATTATACATTCTTATTATTACAACAACCCTTTTTATTATAACAATCTTAAGATTAAAGTAGCTAAGTCTCTAACTTAATATCATCCAATGTATTCGACATTGAAATCACGAATTATTTGTCAATTTAAATCAACATTGTTGTTGTGATCTTACCAGGAAAAGATGAGCTTCCAATCTGATTAAAACACAGATCCTACATCGTTTCGTTTTTGTTTTTGTTTTTTGTAGTTCAAAATTTCGTTTTACTTGTCTTTACTACACTAGGATCTGGAAGAGTTGTTATATTACCGGCGGTCTAGTTGAAGTAAGGGATTAGCCAATGAAACAGTCTGTTATGGCGAGTTCTTGGTGTGCGATGCACGGAACTGTGGGTGAACTACTAGTAACGTCACCGTTAGTCTCAAAAGCCGCTCGTACGACCACTGATGCGACCTTCCAGTACAACTGATGAGATCTTCATGTAGTGTATGTCATAAGTCATGTCAAACGGTGACCTCATATTCCAATCTGGAGAGCATGCGCAAAAAATAATATCGGTGTAAACTGGAATAACCAGACGCTAGAGATTCCCATTCGATTGATGGGGACTTTTGGCATATTTCGCCGAACATAACTCATTTGAAATAAGAGGAAAAACGGAAAAGACTGAATGTAAATTAGTTTATATACATTCATATTACACTATCAATTTCTAGGTCCTAAATATTAGCGATTTAGCTCCTTCAAATTATATCTTCGTATTATTACAACAACTCGTCATTTGTGACAGAGGAAGAATACCCTCCATTTGTCATTTACCCGTTTGAATAAAATATCAATATCAAATTTTGTACGCCCACATTTTGTTGAATATAGATTGAACGTCGTTTATTTAAGTTTGTAAAAGTTGAGAATACGTTGTACAATAGTGGGGAACGATCACGTGATAGCATAGCGAATACCACTGGAAAGACCACTTGTTGTAAGACGCCTTATCTTTGTAAGTTTGTATTTATGTGTATTAATTTATTTATATTAATTCGCTCTATTTTACTTCAAAACATATCTGGTGCAACAATTTTATTTGTTGATCTTTTTTCACATATTGGTAGATCTAAATAATTTTGAAAATGTATTTGTAAAACCCGACCGTATTTGTAATTACTATTGCGACAACCAGAAATGGACTCGTCAAAGTAGCTAAATTATCTATAACAGTTGACTTAAGAAAGTTTACGTTTCCTTTTTGCTAACACACATATAAAGGTATAAAAAGTTTCTTCGTTAATTTAGCCTCATTTGCGAATTTCCGAATACTATTTACAGTTATCGATTCACTGTTGAGGGTTTGGTGGTCTAAACGATAGTGAATCGATAACTGTAAAAGGCAAACGAGGCTAAATTAATGAAGAAACTTTTTTATACTTTTAACGCTTGCGCTTTCGATCATGAAGTCTGTCATTGAGACAGAGATGCATTATGTAAGATTTAGATAAAAACCTGACAGTTATGGCTATAATGAAACTAGATAATGAAAAGGGAATATCTTGAAAATTTCAATCGAATTACTTCATTCTGAGTGAAGTTAGGGATGTTTGGAGAATAGCGGCGTCTTTGTTGTCATTCCTACCGTAGTAAACAGTCTCGATTATACAGCTTTTAATTAAATCATTAACTGTCGATTGTATTTAAATCCACTGAAAGCCAAAAGCATCCGATGGCATAGAGAATTGATAATGGTCTTGGAAAGTTAATAAATGTCTAATTATCCCGCGCCGAACGAAGTTAGGGAGGGATATTGAAATGGGGTTCGTCCGTCCGTCCGATTTCGTTTCTGGAGCATATCTCATAAACCATTCAAGATATCTTTCTGAAACTTTGCACACATATCAACCTATTACAGTAGTTGTGCCTTTTGCTATTTAGAAATTTCTGGGATTTATATTTTTTTGTGTTTCCATGGAAACAAAAATGACTTAGTTTTTGGTATACAATTTTGTTTCCAAAGCATATCTCATAAACCGTTCAAGATATCTTTCTGAAACTTTGCACATACATCAACCTATTACAGTAGTTGTGCCTTTTGCTATTTAGGAATTTCTGGGATTTATATTTTTTGTGTTTCCATGGAAACAAATTTGACTTAGTTTTTGGTGTATAATTTTGTTTCCGGAGCATATCTCACAAACCGTTCAAGATATCTTTCTGAAACTTTGCACACACATCAACCTATTACAGTAGTCGTGCCTTTTGCCATTTAGGAATTTCTGGGATTGATATTTTGTGTGGGTTTCCATGGAAACAAAAATGACTTAGTTTTTGGTGTACAATTTTGTTTCCGGAGCATATCTCATAAACCGTTCAAGATATCTTTCTGAAACTTTGCACACACATCAACCCGTTACAGTAGGTGTGCCTTTTGCTATTTAGGAATTTCTGGGATTGATTGTTTGTGTGTTTCCATGGAAACAAATTTTACTTAGTTTTTGGTGTACAATTTTGTTTCTGGAGCATATCTCATAAATCGTTCAAGATATCTTCATGGCACTTATTTTGAATTTCTCAGATTTGATAATTTTATGTGTTTCCATGGAACCACATGTAACTGTTCAGGATACCTTTAAATAATTTTACCCATTATTTTATTTTCTGAAATCCAGCCTTTCGTCCTGATTTTGTTTCTGGAGCATATTTTATTATCTGTTCAAGAAATCTTTTTGAAACTTTGTACAAACATTAACCTATTATAGTATTTATTTTCTCATGTATAAGTTTATTGTTTAACATACAGCAGCTAATTTAGGTAGGCAAATTTTCTGATGTATAAGTTTATTGTTTAACATACAGCAGCTAATTGAGGTAGGCAAAGGTTGCCGAGCTACTATGATCAGAATATGAAATTCTGTGAATTAATTCCATGTGTCGGAATATGAGATTTGTCTAAAGCTCCAGTTCCCTCCACTTGCAAAATAAGTAGTGTGGTTTCGGTTTTCAGATATTACGCGAGAAGGGGTATGGTTTCCTCCCACAGCTAAAGATCCCTAGGCACGGGCAAATTATTGAAATAACACAAAATGACCTAGTTTTTGTGGATTGGAACTTTTGCTCTCTTTATTTTCAGTGTTATGATCTTTATGTATTTAATTATATGTCATTAGACTGTGTCGTAGAACTATAGCCTGGTTCTTTGGAACTATTCTTGCATTTATATAGCCCAACATTTCAAACTAAGGTATGCTATGGGTAAATGGAGCTTTGTTTTGTTAAACATGCGTTATGGAAGAGCCTATTGCAGGCCTTTCTTTAGTCCCGAAATGTTATCTAAATTATTAATTAGACATTAATCAACTAAATATGTCTATTGCAGGTCTTTCTTTAGGCCTGAAATGTTATCTAAATTATTAATTAGACATTAATCAACTTCTCCATACCATAATCAACTTTTGATGCAATCATTCGCCTGCCATATTTAGTGGATTTGAATACATTTTGTGATGGATAATTTAACGTAACAATAGATAATCCAGACTTTGTTTATTAGCGTACCAACGTTACTAATGACGATCGAGGCTAGACTAAAACTGAATTGATAATATCTCGGTTCAGAATGAAGCAATTTGATTGTTGTCATGACTCATTATCTGTCAGCCCTTAGTATAATCTCACCTAATGCCCCCCCCCCCCTTTAATACAAGGAAATATTGATATATTAAAAGGTCATGGTATAAGTTTATTGTTAATCTCACATAATAATAATGTGGTTTTATATAGCGTCTTCTCCATGTTGACACATGTTTTAAATGGTTTAGTAATGGCTGTACTGGTAAAACTGTCTCTTTAGTACGGATTGGTTAAGAGTCTGTTGATTCTGGTAAAACGGTCGAAACAGGAATGTCTTTAGTGCGAATTTAAATTGATTAAAAGTCTGCTGATTCTTCTTCTGTTGTGGAAGTCCATCCCATAATGTAGGACCAGCTGAACTGAAGGACCTATACCAATATGACTTTAAAGCTGAAATCCGATTACAAAACTACAGACAATTAAATAAAAAACGTTAACACCCTAAACAGTCGCCATACTTGTTTTCAATTTGCAAAACAAACATGACGAATGTTTACGGCGTATAAAAACAACGGTAGGCCACACCCACATCCAGTATATGGCTTGTCAAGCACAGTGTCCACTTCCGGCTAGGTATATTTCAACTACCACACACCCGACTGGTTTAGGGTTTTTTATTCTCACTATCAGCTTGACAAGGCATATACTGGATGTGAGAGTGGCCCGCCTATCTTATACCCGTCATCAATCGCCATGTTTGTTCTACAAATTGAAAACAAGTATGGCGACTGTTTGGGGCGTTATGTTTTTTGTTTTTAATTATTTCCGTAGTATTGTAATCGGAGTTCAGCTTTAAGTTATATCTTGGAACCACTAGTGGATGCTTATTTTGAGAGGGAACTGGTCTTGTTGGGTTGTAGTCATATATGAGTTCAGATAAGTATTGAGGAGCTGCGTTATTGCGACATTTATACACTATTATTAGTATTTTGTATCTGATTCGCGCCCCAGCAGGTAACCAGTGTAGCGAAGCTAGCACATTCTGGATGCGATCAAAATGTTTCCCCTTGTCACTATTCGGGCTACAGTATTAAGAACTTTCTGGATCTTTGCTAGAAGTGCTTGTGAGATTCCAGAGGGTAAACTATTCCAATAATCAAACCTGACAACAAAATGGGTAGTTGAGGGCCTCAAATGTTCCAGAACCAACAATTTTCTTTGGGCAGTACTTTCAAATTGCAGACGTACAGGTATATTCTTGCTATTGCAAGGCGATGGTTTATGCCTTAATTTATTGTTAATGGCCATTGCTTATTGCAGGTCACTGTTAAAATTCGTAGTTTTGTTTTGCTACCCCAGCTAGGATAGGGAATAAGCCTTCTGAACAAATGATTTTTACTGTGTACTAGAGAATGGACAACAACTGATATATAATGAACTTAATTTCAAACTCTGATTTTTCATTATAGTTGTATCTGCTACAGACGAGAGCAGGATGCATACATTACTGACTTTCGCGTTTGTAATTTTATTTCAAGGTAAGTAAAACGCATCAGATAGAATACAACTACTGGGCCTTTTGTAATATTTTCGAATTTTAATGTTGGAATTCAGTGCATTTTTTGTGCATTAAAATTTATCATGAAGAATTATGTCTGCTTAACTTGTTTTGATATATATTTAAAATTTTATTGCATTATTTAATAAATAAACAAGGGACTATAAATGTAGTGCGCAAAGAAATTATTTCTAACAAATAGTGCAAGTACTGTGAATATTTGTAAGTACATGTACCAAGGTAGCGAATAAGAAGCCAAAACATTATTTGTTGATATTTTTACTACGGTACTATTACTACGGACCACGTTCTGAACCTTTGAAGTATATAATATATACTATTCAAAAAAAGTAGGGGATATTTGATTTTGGGGGCATAATACTAAAATATGCAAATGACTACGAAAAAAGTCACTATAGAACCTAACAGAAGAAACATTTCCAGTTACATGTGACGCCCAAACGCACCAATAGCTACCGCATGGAATGCAGGTGATGCTTGGGATCATCATGGGGGTCCAACCCAAGATTTGCACGACCCTGACTTTGAATGTTACAGTCATTGTGGCATTGAATTCCAGGGTGGAAACATCAGTTTAATTGTTTTAGTGACCAGAAAACAAATTTTGATATGCGTCGGCTTACCCAAAATGAAAGGTTACGTGCCCTTGGCATGCTACAGATCGGCACAACACAGGCGGTTGTGGCGCGGACGATGAATGTTTCTCAGTCTGTCATAAGCAGGCTATGGTCCAGATACCGTGATACACAATCTGTACAGGACAGACCACGCTCAGGTCGACCAAGGGCGACAACTCAAGCCCAGGATCGATTTATCCGTACCTTGGCCTTGAGAAATCGTGTCATCACAGCAAATCAGATCAGCGCTCGTCTTCAAACAGACACTGGTGTGAGAGTGAGTGGCCAGACGATTCGGAATCGACTGCATAGGGGTCACCTTCGCGCCCGACGTCCTCGCGTGATCCCTTGTTTGAGAGATCATCACATTCAGGCAAGACGTCGTTGGTGTAGGGATCGTCAACACTGGGATAATCGACGCTGGAGCAATGTGATGTTTTCAGATGAGTCAAGGTTCAGTGTTGATTTTTTGGACAGACGTAGGAGGGTGTGGCGTCGTCGAAACGAGCGCTTCCAAGACGTTAACGTCATCAGACATGATCGATTTGGGGGTGGTTCTGTTATGGTGTGGGGAGGCATCACTGTTGCTGGAAGAACGGCTTTACATGTTGTTGCAGGGCGTGTTACAGGCCAGTACTACCGGGACAACATCTTGGCAGTCCATGTTGTGCCGTTCGCACGACGTCATGGCCGCCGTTTCATCTTCCAGGATGACAACGCAAGATGTCACAGGGCCAGGATCGTTACAGGTTACCTCCAACAACAGAACATCACCACATTACCTTGGCCAGCACTGAGTCCCGACCTCTCCCCCATCGAGCATGTCTGGGACATGCTTGGACAGAGGTTACGTCAACGTCAACAACGTCCTGCCAATGTCCAAGAACTTGCTGCTGCGTTGCAACAGGAATGGGACAATCTGGACCAAAATGACCTTAGACGTCTCATTAGGAGTATGCCACGTCGGATCAATGCTTGTTTGGCAAACAGAGGAGGATTTACCCATTACTGACTTGGTTGTGATGCTGTGGTAACTTTGCTGTTTGACCCCGGGTATCATTTTACCCTTATAATGGTCAGTCTGTGCCTTACTTAGTCTAACGATCATTTGGAATAAATCGATGAATGTGAACTTCATTTCATTTTGTCATTTGTTTCTTCGTCAGTTTCATTAGGTGACTTTAATAACACTTAAAAATCAAATATCCCCTACTTTTTTTGAATAGTATATTTGAATGATCTAGATTGTTACGCCTTTCTAGGTAACTGAAATCCAAATAATAACTAACTTTCTAACTTCAACTCCATCGACTAGATGAGAATTAACAACGATTTCTAGGTGTATTTCGATTAGTTGTTATAAATGTAGCATATATGAAAATAAAGAGAACGCTTTTTAGTGTAATGTCTTATCTTTTATAGTGCTTGAATCTAAGAAATTGACTGCAATTGACACCGAATCTGGTATAGTTGGTTTTAATGTTCAGCTGAAATGGGATGTGGATGTAAATATTAAGGAGGAAGATTACTCTATCTTAAAGGTTAATATGAAACATATTTTTATATTCACATTGTAATAAACACGTAAACAAACTAGAAAAGAAGATTGTTTGTTTATTTTTTCAAATGGGTACGTAAAAAAATGCAGCCATTGATACTAGGAACAGAACAGTAGGGCGTAAAACTTCATTTCATTTCGTTTCTTTTTAGGTTGAAAACAAGATAACCAAGAAACTAGAGAACACTATAAAATATCCCCATAGGCTAGATGACACTAGGCTTATTCTGACTATTAAAAATGTTACATTATATGACGCAGGTATATACAGGTGTAAATTGCATGCTTCTGGTGAATATAAAGATATAAATCTGAAGGTGGAAGGTAAATACCTTATTTTGTTAAAGATACATTATGGGAGATTAGATAAAGAGTTGGCAGTTCTCACTATAATAGTTAAAAACTAGATAATGTAAATGGAATTTGCTGAAAATTTCAGTCAAATTGATCCGCCCTGAACCGAGAATTTAACGATTGAATTTTCGGTCTAGTCTCGATCATCATTACTAAATTCGGTACGATAAAATCATAGTCTCAATTATCCATTTCATGATTTAATCATGAATGAAAATTGAGAAGCAAATCGGATCCCAATCCAGTAAATATCGCAGGCTAGCCATGACATCGATAGTTGATTATTGTCTGTATTAGATAATTAATGTCTAATTAATAATTTAGATAACATTACAATATGCAGATTTAGCTCTTGCATAATGTATGCTTAATGATTCTCGTAATCCCAATCGTGCAATTAATTGAATTGGAATGAGTACCGTTTACTTAAATATTTAGATTGAAATTGACTACTATAACGAATACGTAGCCGTTTAAAATAGCTTTCGATCACTGTCTCAGATTCCTTTTGATCAAGGTCTTCATAAAAGATGACATTCTGTCCTTTTTGAACGAAATGATATGATAATAGGAAGTTATTTGAAGATGCGACTATATCCACACGATTAATCTTTTTAACATTAACATCGGTACATTTCCTGTGAATGTAAATAAAACTGTGTTATGTTTTCTAGATTGGGAATTTCAATGGATTTATACAACAAATCCAATGGTATCGAGACTCAATAAAGACATATTATTGGTGTGGAAATATCGAAGTCTGAAGTTGGTCAATGAAATCAGCTTTAATAGGTACAGCAATTATACCAAAGAGGTGAATATAAAATACATATTTTCTCGGTGTAGAGGATTTTCCGGCGTCGTTCCCAATTTTATCATAAGGCATGTTGATGGAGGGCCTGACAAGGACAGTTGTCTAGTCGTTCAGATGGGACGAAAACCGAGGTCCCGTGTACACATTGGCGTGCACGTAAAAGATCCCTTGACAGTTGCTATTAGATATAATAGTAGGCCGTAGTGCCGCTGCCCGAGCAAAGTGTCCCTCATAGCACACTGTATGACGTATGCCCGTCTTTATTAGCCCAGTTCGGAGCAGAACAGTAGGACGTTAAACCCCATTTGATTTCATTTCGGTGTAGAGATAACGATAAATTTTGATTCCAGTAGGACTAATCATGCAAGTGTGTTTAGTCGATCGGATTAGACAAATTTTTTGGTTTATCTTCGCAATGCCCCGACTTTCAGAAAAAGCGAGCGTGGGGAAAGCGCATTGTATTAATTTGGGATTAAAATTCTGATTTTCCATCCTTTCGGCCTTCTTTTTGAAAGACGAGAACATTATTGCTAAAACTGGTCATATAACTATCTGCACTGTAACTTTAATAACTATGTATATACCAACAATAATGCAATATGCACATATCCATTACCTCACTGCACTCTGGTTGATCATCTGAAATGCAATATATTCTTCTAGTTGACTGGAAATAAACTTCCAACTCTCCCATATAAGTTCGAGCTTTTATTTGCCTTCTCTGTATTCAGTAACCCAGTAGGAGCAAAACAGTAGGACGTTAAACCCCATTCATTGCATTAGTCTTCTGGAATCTGGTTTGTCGATATCAACTAAGCTATGAGTACATCTTTAATACGCCTCTAGTCGGAGTTGTTGTAAGTGTATTCTCGGCATATTCAGCTATCCTGCTTCAGCTATCTGACTGGTAAATGTTTAGTCCGTAAACTGGTATTCATTTTACAAGTGAGAGACTCGGATAGTTTAAACACAGGATGCTAATATTTTCAGGGGCATCGAATTGGTGTTTGGACCACTAAGGATGGTTTTAAATCTGATGTGAGTAATGTTAAGTTGGACATGTCGAAATATAAAGCAGTTGACGAATTAAGTTTGATACTGATAAATGCCACGAAAGATGATTTCAACTTAATCTACATCTGCCAAATATCCCATGGTGCAAATGTTAATCAGAAGGGAATTCAGCTGGAGATAAAAAGTAAGTGCAGATTACATATCTGTCTACCAATTACATATCAGTCTACCAATTACAAATCTATCTACCAATTACATATCTGTCTACCAATTACATATCTGTCTTGATATTTAAATATTTCTGTATATAGATATCAACATAGAGTTTATCACAGTTTGTCAAATTATTGATATCAAGAACTGTGTTCACTATCTCAAGATTCGACATTGTAAATATTTCCAAACTACAACTGCTTTATGTTATCCCAGTTGGTGTATAAAATACGTAAAACTCAATTGTATTTCATTGCCAAAACGTGAATGCAAACACTGCAGTATTCTTGCGCTTTACGATTTCAGAATTTGTAAGGACAGCTTTATGTTTCTTAATGCATGGGCCGCTTCGCCCCCCCCCCCACACACACACACACTCACTTTTCTGGGCAAAAAAAAAAGAAAATTTGTTATTTCTACGTCCCAATCCACATTTATTATAATCATAACTGGCATTGTTCTCGTCACGGATAACACGAGTGGTGATGGGTCATTGTCAACTTTTCTTTCGTGATAGCAGCTAGGAGGGTTTTGGGTTACTTAAAATGCAAAAAATCATATCAAAGTTTCAAAATTTTCTCCAATGCCTCCAGCGATGCGCTCTCACGTTGCTTCCTTTTCGGGACTTCGTCCCAGAATTGTCAGACCCCCCCCCCCCACTTCGGAAATCGCTCCACGGCCTCTAATGTTTCATTTCAGCCCATCACTCTCAATTACTTTAAATGTATCATTGTTTAATTTTATGTTTTAGAACCTACATTATACAGTAAGAGTTCGATTATTACTGATTGTGTAATTGAATTTCAATGGTATTACGACTATGATTATCCCGCCCGTGCCATTATATTTAACCGACAGTTACACGATGAGGTAAGGTGAAAGATATGTGATTGCGAGATTATTGAGGGCCACTCTGGCGTTATTTGTTGACTTAATTAAGTAGGTTTAAGACTTAATCGGTATACAGACGATAATACACTAAATAATTACAAAATCTAACAATAAATCTTGGACATTCTAATCTTATTAATATGGTATACTTATATATGGTTATACAGATACTATAGAGATATATGTGTCTTTATTGCAATTGTATCTGGTGGGTATAACCGTACAGTTTTTGATTATCAATCTGTGAACAAAACAATATGTGTGCTAGGAACAAATATGAAAAACTAATAGATATTTCGCTGAATATTGTGAACCATTTCTTCGTCACCAGTATGACGTAGGCCCATATTTTCGTACAACTCCTTATGGTTGTAGATATTCTAATACATTTACTTTAACCAGATATCAACTCATTTGTTGTAAACACATCTATAAACTCGGCACTTATTGCTAAGCCCATCTTAAGAACAAAAGGATAGTTGGGTTTGCCATTGAATACTACCTCTGAACTGAATGGAAGATCCTAGTATTTTAAGAGAATTTTTGTGTCAAGTTAAGTAAAGGTTGTCTTCTAATATGCACTCAGACTTGACGACACTTATTTACAACTGTCGTTAAGAGATATATTAAGTTTTTAGGTTCTGTATTTACTCACTTCTTTATTACCGGTTTGTAATAGCCTCTTAAAGTTGGATTCTGGATTGATGGGAGGTTTAAGCCAACTCTAGATGGTGGACAAGATCGTGTGAAATTTGAAAAAACAGATCATCTACAAGGAGGGGCACATATAACTCTAAAATTATTGAATGTAACCAAGGATGATTTCAGTTACAATTATACCTGTAAATGTGTTTTTACTGATAAAACAATAGCAGTTTCTGCTAGTGTGGAGATTAGTGAGTAAACTTATATCAGTAAAATACAACCACTCCCTCGTTTTAAGCTTTGTTTCATATTTAAAACAAGTGTCTGGATCAGTGGCGGCGCCAGCCGTCAGTGATTGGAGGGGCAAAGCTGGGGCAAAGTCCAAGGTTAAGGGGGCAAAGGCACGAGCTTCAACTAGGGGAAGGGGGCCGGAAATACAGCCTGGCAGTATTTCAGGCACTGATCGATGAGGTAAAGTGTCAAACGAACGGACTTGCGAATCACGACGAAGCCCACTCACGAGCGTCAAAGTAGGGCGTCTTCCCCCAGAAAATTTTGGAAAATAGACTGCCGGAAATGCTGTCTTACAGTATTCCCAGGCACCGATCGTCGAGATAAATAGATCTGACCAGATACCGTCCGTCGCCTGATCACTATATAGTTTATCCGACTAGAGAACAAAATGTCAAACGAACGGACTTGCGAACCTCAACGAATTCCCCTTGTGAGCGCCAAAGTAACGAGTCCATTGGGGACCTCGCCAAGAAAATTTTGAAAAATAGACTGTCGGAAATGCTCTACAACATGCAAGTTTATGACTGAGTGGGAATGTGGGATTTATTCACCGTAGAAGGTATTTGATTACCGAAACGTATCACAAATACTTTTTTTTATTTTCTAAAATTATTGGGGGGGACAAACAGAGGGCAGACCAGATTAATTGGGGGGGGGGGGCAAATGCCCCATCCCCCCTGGCGCCGCCACTGGTCTGGATGATTTTGTCGTTAATTAAATTATGTACCATTTATGTTTATCTTAACATAATGATAAATAATATGATCAAAATGTCACGAAAATATGACTGGAATTGTCAGTTAACTTTAATTCCCCTTTTAGCTTAATGCTAATAATTATTATTATTATTGATTATTATTATATCAAGCATTTACTTGTATCGTTGTTGTGACCAAGTGCTCCATAACTTCATCCATCAAATATTCTATTTTATCAAATGCGAACGATTATTTAGATGCATTAAACTCATTGACACCCACTGGTTTTGATAATATATGATATTGGCTTTTCAACTCTCAATAATTTCTTCTAAACTATACTCGCTGTGTTGTAATTAAAGACTGAATCAATCCCATATGCCATTGGCAAGCTACATATGATTTGTGTACAGTGTGGTCATGTCTTACACAATGGTCAGCTAAGTATACAATGACCTGGTATATTTCGAACTCCATATAATATGATGATGACTTCGTGTTGTGACACCAATTCCTTATAAGAAGTTCGTATCCATTTTCCCTATTGCTGCACGCTATATAACCAGGAGTTCGGGGTTCTTTCCGATTCGTGTCTACTTCATGTTATTAATAAAGGTAGTATCATTATGCTGGTCTTCTGTTACCTGTAGTGTTACATTGAGCGCAAATAATCTGAGGTATTGTAATAAAAATATGTTTTAAGTAAGTATAAGCAATGAGTTAAAGTGGGTATAGCTAACACGTTCATCTGATTATGATATATTAGCTGTATAAAAGTTTAATATTAAGCAATTCAAATTAAAAGTCAATTCCAATTAAAATAATCTAATAGTGAATTAACAACCATCTTGTTATTTATTTTCGCTGCTTTCTGCTTTCAAAAAAAATACATTTAGTCCTTAATAAATCCGGTTAAAATATTTTCTTTTATACACTTGTTTAGATGGGTTCCTCCTGTAGCCTTCAATTTAACACTATTTATTTCAGATATTACATATATGTATATACATTTACAAAAGTAGGATCATATGTATTTTTACATTATATAGATTGTGTAAATAAATAAATAAATACCATTTTACCTTTAAAAAAGGGGTTATGACCATACCCTGTTCATTAAATTTGTAATTTCCCATTTAGCAACTGAAGAGCGGCCTAATGGAACAGATGGTTATACGTTGTCCCGTGAGGGTCTTGATAGGATGAATATTGTTGCAGTGGTTACTACAGTGGTGCTTACAGTAATAATATTGATTGCAGTTCTATACAGTGAGTGGTTTCGACAAAACACCCCGATTTGATGAAAACCATTAAAGTTCTTCACGTTTAGGATATGGTTTCTAAACTAATATTCGGAGGTCTGTGCTTGGCCACTCATGTTAATGCATCTTCATGCATAGATTATTTTGGATCATGTTAACGGATTACTTGGCATGTTTGACCTTCAACTCAGTCACCATCTGTAATAGTGGGAAGTTTGTTACTTTAATATTTGATAGCTATTCCGGCGGGGATCCAGGGGGGCAGGGGGACTGGCTGTGCCCCCCCCCCTCGACAAAATCCTGGATCCGGGCCTGCTATTATAATGGTTGCTCCCGGTGAAAGATACTGCATACGTTTTGTACGATTTTTTTTCCGAAACCTTGGAGGTTTTCACATTGAATGCGCCCCAAATATAATTTGTATTATACACAATTCAACAGCCGATTCCTGTATCTTCCGAAGATGCAACGGTGACCCTTCTATGGCCTACTTATTCAACGGTGTGTACTAAATAATATACTTACCACATATTGCTAGATTACGGACTACATATTATTTTTGGACATAAATTCCAACCAACATTCCGTAGAAAAATTCTCTTAGACAATTAAATTTCCGGTAAATGTATATAGATATGGAGCTAGGGCAAAGAACTCGAAACTGCGTTTGGGCAAAAATGAAATGAAATGGGGTTTAACTTCCTACAGTTCAACTCCGAATGGGCATACGCCATACAGTGTGCAGTGGTGATATTTTTTAATGGACCGCGGCGCTACGGCCTATTGTCATATCAAATTCCAACTGCCAAGGGATCTTTTACGTGCACACCAATATGTGCACTGGATCCCGGTATTCGTCACATCCGAACTACTTGCCAGTTTTTATGTACATCAACGTTGACAAGGATGCGCCATGCCGGAAAATTCTGAGAAATTTCGGAAAATACAGAGAGTAAACACTAGACCTGGTTAGCGTGTCGACGTTTTACTCTCAGTACCAGCAGGGTTCTCACTTTCAGCCAAGCGTGCTTGCTCAATGTCCTATTTAGGAAGTAAAAGGTCTGTTTCATTAAGCCATCCCTTGTAAACTATATGGGGGGGGGGGGGTGTAGACCATAATTATACTTTGTGAATTATCGTACCCATGAAATTTTATTCATGTCGTAAGAATTCTTAAATGCAGAAAGTTATTCATACAGTCCACATAATATTGTGATTTATGCTGTTTTCGTCGATTGTGCTGTATTGTTAGTCGATCTCCATCGTTGACAATAATCTACTAATTAATATTTACATATCAATTCTTTACAGAACGATGTAATCCACTAATTTGTAGAGCGGTAAATCAAACAGAAACTGAAGGTAGGACAATAGCAGTTGATTCACTATTGAGAAGAATTTTTCGTTATATACTATTTATCTATTTTTCTCCCCGATTGATGGAATCTATGTAACTTTGCGGTGTTAATATTTAAGTGATTGTCCACATATTCTTATGTTTAACTATGCTGCTTCTATGAAACTTTCAATGGTTATTATGGCCTTTATTTACAGAACAAGATGAGGAACACAAATTGCAAGCTATACAAACTGAAGGTAGGACAATTGTAGTTGATTCACTCTTGAGAAGAGGTTTCCGTAATGCAGAATTTATCTATTTTTCTCCCCCATTGATAAAATCTATGTAAATTTGCAGTATTGATATGTAAGTGATTGTCCACGTGTTCTTATGTTTAAAGGAGCTAAATCGCTAATATTTGGGACCTAGAAATTGACCCAAATGGGTCACAACGCATTATAACAATGTAATCGGATTGTATATAAACTGATTTACATTCAATTGTTTCCGTTTTGACTCTAATTTCAAATCAGTTATCTCCAGCGAAATACGGCATGAGTCTCAACCGAATCGCTATTTCTAGCGTCTGGTTATTCCAGTCTATTGCGCATGCTCTCATGGCGTCACCGGTTGAATGAGTTGTGGAATATGTCTATAGCCTCGTTCTTTCTTGTCACTTGTTACACATGACGCTGAAACGCACTATGGTGCACGATTCGTGTACCAATGGCAAAATGTTTATTTTATCTTAAATATTGAATATCAGAAGCCTACCTTTTCCCTGTAAGATCACGACATCAATGTTGATTTGAATTGACAAATAATTCGTGTTTTCAACGTGTAAGACTTTGGATGATATTGAGTTAGAGACTTAGCTACTTTAACTATGCTGCTTCTATGGAACTTTCAATGGTTATTACCGCCTTTATTTACAGAACAAGATGAGGAACACAAATTGCAAGCTATACCAACTGAAGGTAGGACAATTGTTGTTGATTCACTCTTGAGAAAAGGTTTCGGTAATACAGAATTTATCTATTTTTCTCACCCGTTGATGAAGTCTATGTAAATTAGCAGTGTTAATATTTAAGTGGTTGTCCACGTGTTCTTATGTTTTACTATGCTACTTCTAAGGAACGTCCGATGGTTATTATCGCCTTTATTTACAGAACAAGATGAGAAATACAAATTGAAAGCTATACAAACTGAAGGTAGGACAATTGTTATTGGTTCACTCATGAGAAAAGGTTTCGGTAATACAGAATTTATCTATTTTTCTCCCTCATTGATGAAATCTATGTAAATTTGCAGTGTTAATATTTAAGTGGTTATCCACTGTTCTTATGGTTTGTTATGCTCCTTCTATGAAACGTCCGTTGGTTATTATTGCCTTTATTTGCAGAACCAGACTAGGAATACGAATATCAAGCTATACCAAATGAAGATGTTGAAGGTAAAGTTATAGTCGTTTAAAAACGTTTTTATCACGTAATAACACATTCTACAGTGTGATTACTTTCATATTCTACTGGGCGAAACTCCTAGGAGAAATAGCTTAACATCTATATCTATATTTATTTGTTTGTGCGTGTAAGAAAGGGTAAGGTGATCAATAAAATCTTCTGCTCGTCTGTTTTTATATCAAAAAGGCTCGTAGGAGATTCGCTAAGTATTCATATCGTTTGGCGCGAGAATATATAAATAAATTATTTACCATTAATGAAATCCGTGTAATAATTGTTCAATTTTTAGAAATTTAATGTAGGGATCGAACACGCGGCTCCCACTCTCAAATGACGAATGTGGATTTTCTTTTAAATTTATAACACTAATAAGCATGCCAGTTTTAGAATACACAGTGCAGCAGTAATTAGTTTTCAGAAGTTTTTCCGGAATCACTGATTCATGAAATTTAGAATACATTGGCCCCACCCCTAACATAAAAATAACGTATTTAATGAATTAAAAGAAAAAGGGTATTTTTGTTACGATGTATGTTCTCTGCCATAAACACGGAAATCTGAAAGTTGCAATTTTTAAAATCAAGGCAGTATGTGAGATTTAGAGGAAGAGTTGATCGTGTAATTTATATTGAACAGAGTTATAAATGTCCACTTTAATCCGTTTTCAGGCAGAGGATGCAATTAGATTGTATTTCTTTTAATCCAAATAAGACTAATAAATAAGAATAATGAACTGTGTATATCTCCATTTTCGAGCATTTTGTAATGACATCATGCTTTTGCAGTACATTTAGTCTTGGCAGGCGGCATTATGGTTTAAGGCAGTTATTGCGGACATAAGTTATTCCACTCAATATCCAAGCCTTCCGATGATCTAGATATTGCATTTTGGGCTAGACATGCTCTGAAATACTACTATATAATATCCGAAGCCCGAAAAACGCCACGCAGTAGGCTCTCCCATCATGCCTTATTAACTGTATTGAACTTTGGATCGATGTGATGGTATTTCGTTACATATAGGGAAATGAAATGAGGTTTAACGCCTTGCTCCTCTACAGGGCTAATGAAGACGAGCATACGCCATACAGTGTGCTGTGAGGGAAAATTTGCCCGGGCAGCGGCACTATCGCCTACTCTTTTTTCGAATTCCAACTGCAAAGGGATCTTTTACGTGCATTCCAATGTATACACGGGACTTCGGTTTTTCGTCTCATTTGAAGGACTAAACAGCTGTCCTTGTCAGGCCTTCCGTTCTGCACCACTGACAATGTTAAATTAATCAGTTCTGTAAATTGAATCCTTGCAAGCATGAATCCATCTGTTTGCTTTGGATTGTTGATTTGGCCGGCACGTATAGTTGTGAGATTTACTCAGCAACCTACTAAATAAATAACTACTGATTCAGTACTTTGATAAACCTTCAATAACTAAATGACAAGAGTTAAAGTTTTCACATCTTGTTTAAAGTAAAGCAGGACATAAATCGAAGTAATATGGCAACATACGCCCTTGGATAACGTGTTGTGTGATCGATCACTTCAATCATATTAACGACAGTACTATTTAATGTATACCTTATATTTCTTACAGATGATGTATATATTGGTTGTACTTCTACAACATCAGAACATACCTTGACTAAAAGAATATCAAGGCATGAGTAATGATCTGGTCTACCCTCTGTTGCCCCCAACACAATTATCACAAGGGCAGGAGAGGGTAGTAAATGGGGCTTAATATCCAATGGACTAGTTTATTCAATAAACTGAAATGGATTGAACAACAGGCAAAGCCCTATATAAGTTCTCTCCAAACATAAAATAATAAACAATGGTGGACATATGTATAGGTAGTTAGTTACAAACATATATACATTTCTTGGAGTGTAATGTTTAGATATAATATAGTATATTTACATTTAAGTTTATGTTATGAAAATAGAAAAATATTACACAATGTAAATATAGTTTTAATAATTAAAACTTTAAAACCGCTTGCTATCTTTTATAAATTTGCATTATTTCAAATATGTTAGAATTGGTATCATCTGAAAGATCGGAGTTGCCATATAAAATTAGATCCATTGTAACATTTTGTTTAAGCTGGTGTATATTATTTTTGAAACATGTTCTAGCTTGCGGCAGAGTACCCTGGATATATGAAAATATAATGGCAATAAGTGATTATTTAAGTTACTAGCTTTATTTCTTAATTGGCAATGGATAGTATTCTCGTTCCTATTTCCAATATTATAATATAATGGTGGTCTAATTAAGGGATGTAAACGTGAAAGGCCTGATTTAAATGAACTTAACGTTTGTGAGGTTTTAATATGTTCTGGTAGATTGTTCCAAATTTCAATTGTACAGGGAAAGAAACTATTAGAATTTGAATTGGTTTTACAAAATGGTGGATTGAGGTACTGTTTTCTATTACGAAGATTATAATTGGATACTAATGGTTTAAATTTGTTAAAAGACTTCAGAGAGATAGGTGGGGGGGGGCATAGGTTATTTTTTTTATTTTATATAGATATATTAATTTGTGTTTTATTCTGCGATTAGACAGTGATTCCCATCCCAGTTCTTTGTATAAATTGTTTTTAGATGAATTTCTTCCAGTTATTATTCTACCGCTTCAGTTTGAACACTTTCTAGGGTAGCTAGGTCAGAATCTTGCATTGAGCAGTTATCTCATGCAATAACAGCATATTCTAAAATCGGGCAAATAAAAGCAAGGTATATTTTATTAAATGAAATTCTATTAATTTTATATTTCAGTATACGCAAAATATTAAGACGACTGCAAACTTTCAGGTATATATTTGAAATATGATTTGACCATAATCCATTAGACTGAAATGTTAATCCCAAATGACAATGAGTATTTATGTTTTCACCTTTTGTATTTTCGAAGATAACGTCTGGATGAATTGCATTTTGTCTAGTGAAAATAATATTTTTAGTTTTATTGGGCTTAAAAGTTACACACCACTGTTTAGCCCATGATGAGATAATATTAAGATCTTTAGTTATAATGTTTGCGCTGCTTAGAGGATAATTATGAATAATGGTAAAAAGCGAAGTATCATCGGCGAATACCCTTATGTTGTTAGTAATATTATCAGAGATATCATTTAAATAAATTAAAAATAAAAACGGACCAAGTACACATCCTTGGGAAACTCCAGAATCGGTATGCAAATAATTTGATTTGAAACCTAAAACTACACATTGTTGGGCTAATATTATCGGCACCAGAAGGTTTTGAACAGTTAAGAATTAGTAGCTGGTCTCTTACTTCTTGTTTACTTACAATAAATTGATGCAATTAGTTGATACTGCGAGAAGCAAAGTTTGGAAAGTCATGTACATCATTTAATTTTGAAATCCAGGCAAAATAATGGTTGAAGATATTTGCCTTATCAAGTGGGTGTGTGTAAATGCATTTTTCAAATATTAATGGGGAGGTGCCTATCTTTTCATTGTCAAAATTTGTAATAGATTTAGCTATTTTCGACCATTTATTTGAATGCAGGTTGTTATTATTTGTTTTTAAAATTACTTTTAGCTTCCCTAATTAGTGATATTACTTCATTTCGTATTTTCCTAAATAATAACCAATGATTAGGATTATTAGTTATATTGGCGCGTTGGTGTGCTCTATTTCTTTTTTCTATTTTTCTACGTATAGTGTTATTCATAAATGGCTATCATTTGGTCTTATAGTTACTACTTTTGTTGGGATATACTGTATTATTGCTTCATTTAAGACATCTAAAAAACTTTGATACATATTATTAATATCATCACCTTCAAAAACATAATTTGTCCAATTGACAGTTAATATTTCGTTATTTAACCCTGCATACCGTATTTAATGAATTAAAAGTAAAGGGTATTTTTGTTACTATGTATATCCTCTGTCATTGCTGAACTCCATATAAATATTTAAATCTTAAAGTAGCAATTTTTAAAATCAATGCAGTATGTGAGATTTAGAGGAAGAGTTGATCGTGTAATTTATATTGAACAGAGTTATGAATGTCCACTTTAATCCGTTTTCAGGCAGAGGATGCAATTAGATTGTATTACTTTTAATCTAAATAAGACTAATAAATAAGAATAGTGAACTGTGTATATCTCCAATTTCGAGCATTTTGTAGTGACATCATGCTTTTGCAGTACATTTAGTCTTGGCAGGCGGCATTATGGTTTAAGGCAGTTATTGCGGACAACAGTTATTCCACTCAATATCCAAGCCTTCCGATGATCTAGATATTGCAGTTTGGGCTAGACATGTTCTGAAATACTACTATATAAAATCTGAAGCCCGAAAAACGCCATGCAGTAGGCTCTCGCATCATGCCTTATTAATTGCATTGAACTTTGGTGATATTATTTCGTTACATATAGGCGATGTTAAATTAATCAGTTCTGTAAATTGAATCCTTGCAAGCATGAATCCATCTGTTTGCTTTAAATTGTTCTTATGGCCGGCAAGTATAGTTGTGAGATTGACTCAGCAACCTACTAAATAAATAACTACTGATTCAGTACTTCGATAAACCTTAATAACTAAATGACAAGGGTTAAAGTTTTGTTTACCAACAGGAACAAGTGTTTTAGATTACCTTTTAGTCCCAAAAGAGTATTTATATCATATACATAATTTTGAAGTTTAAGATGTAACGATATTTTCGGACCATTTATCTTTAAAATTTAAGCTAAGGGTCTAATCTCTAACATACATCAATGACAATATAAGTAATGACGCCAGAGAAAACACCACGATAAAACAGGTTATTAAGTGGGATGTATGTAGGATTAATGAATTTGACGAGGTAGTTATAAGCAATTATGAAGCTCTAAATAATATTGTTTTGTGTAATAACTGTAATATTCATATTCTTGTCAGAGATATCACCGATGTTTCGTGATATAACTGTTTCTTTATTTGGAAAAACTAAAATCAACCATAATGAAAGAAAATAAATGGTTTGACAGTGATTGTAAATTAGTCCGCAATACATTTAATAAAAGTAGAAATGTTTTTCTAAAAAATCGATGTGGGTTAAACAAAATATTATTTAATCTGAAGTGAGTTCAATCTTAAAAGAAAGTCTAATTTGAAATACAATAAAGCCTTAGGATCTCATCTGTGTGCCCTCTCTAAAGCGAACTCCAAAGGATTTTTGGATGCTATAAAAAAATTAAAAAATTTCAAATCGTCAAATCTGACAAAATGTGCATTTTCAAAGTATTTCGAAAGTGTGGTGTTCTCAAACTAATCCTCAACTCGACTCAACTTTTGTCAACAATAGAAAATGTAATCACCTTTCAAATAACGAAATACTATTTGCAGTTAATAAAAATAAAAGCAGTAGTATTGATCAAATATGTAGTGAATTTTTTTATTGAAAGTATTGATATTTTATTGCATCTTACGGTTACAATTTACGGTCCGGAATGCTGGCAAGAACTCATATTAGTTCTCGTACCCAAAACAGGTGATTTTAATATACCTGACAACTATAGGGAATTTCAATGTCAACTTTTTCAAAAATCTTTTCTATTATTATAAATCATAGACTGTACACTTGGTGCGACTGCCACAATAAACTAAATGAAACTTAGTTTTGATTTAGAAAAGATAAAAGTACAATTGATGTTCTTTTTATTCTTAGACAACCACCAAAACCTTTATTGTGCTTTTACAGATCTGCGTAAAGCTTTTTATACAGTGAACATATGTTGTATAAACTTATTTCAATCGATGTAAGTTTTAAAATGTTAACTATAATCAAATCGATGTAATAGCAAAGTAAGCAGTTTTGTCAAGTTCAAAGGTAAATTATCTACGTCATTTCTCAGTATGTCAGGAGTAATAAGGCGAATCACTGTCCCCGCTTTTATTTTTGTCCCCCGCCTTTCGAAGAAAGGAGGGAACTATTAAAATGGGTCCGTCCGTCCGTCCGTCTGTCTGTCCGTCACACTTTTTGGGACACAATAACTCTCTTTCTAATTGAGCTAGAATGTTCAAACTAAGTGTAGGTGTTTATTAGACCAATGCCTTGATGGAGTTCGAAGATGAGCATTTTCTGCTTAGGGTAAGCAGAGATAAGCAATTTGATTGGTTGATGCTTTGGGAAACGATATCTTTAGTTCTAATTAAGTGAGACTGATGAAACTTGGTGTATAGTTTAATTACATCAGTTCAGTTCAGTTCTTTATTAACATCAATACCTTGACTAAATTCTATAATGAGTATTTTCTGCTCAGGGTAAGCAGAGTGATAATAAAAAATGATTGATCGAGACTTTGGAACACGATAACTCTCCTTCTAATTGAGCTAGAATGATCAATCTTAGTGTAGGTGTTTATTAGATCAGTGCCTTAATGAAAATAAAAGATGACTATTTTCCGCTTAGGGTAAGCAGAGATAAGCAATTTGATTGGTTGATGCTTTAGTTCTAATTAAGTGAGAGCGATGAAACTTGGTGTATGGTTTCAGTACATCAATACCTTGACTAAGTTTGATGATGAGAATTTTCTGCTTATAGGTTAAGTATCGATACGCAATTTGATTGGTCAAGACTTTGTAACATAACATGCTATTAATTGAGGTAGAATGTTTTAACTTGACGAAGATGTTTATTAGGTGAATGCCTTGACTGGGTTCAGTGATTAACATTTCCAGCTAAAGCTAAACAAGGTTAAGCAATTTCATTGATCGATGCTTTGGGACAAGATAGATCTTTGATTCTATCTGATAGAGAGTGATGAAACTTAGTGCATAGTTGATAATCAGTTTGATTGCTTGATACTTTTGAAAAAAAACCAAATGTTCGATTAATTAATATGTGTCATCTATTTTTATTGGGATTTCGGCTTGATCCAATCCTATTGTTTAATTGTGTATTTTTTCTGTATTTATTTTTCAGTGATATGAGTATATTAAAGTTTATCTATTTTATATTGTTATCTGTGTATAT